AGGTATTCGGCCAATCACAACGCATTGGATATCTGGCCAATCAGAGCACACCTCGCTTTTCAGACCGATTAGTTTTGTAAAAATCGACGCGTTTCAGAAAGGCGGGGCATAGAGGAGAAACTATAGTGTACAGTATGTGGAAAATAATGTGTTTTTTGAACCTTAAACCGCATAAACACATTTCATTACACCAAATACACAAAATAATGTTCTTTTTAGCAGCATCATATGACCCCTTTAAGGATAACTTTTACTATGTCTTTTGGTGGAAACTTTTGGAATGGACTTTTACTGGATAAATAGAAATCTCTCAGGATTCATTAAAAATATTTTCACTTGTGTTTTGAAGATTGATTTGAAACAGCATGAGGCTGAGTAAATGAGTAAATGATTCAATTTTGGGGTGAACTACCCCTTTAACTGCTTGAGAATTACTCCTGCATTGGTTTATATCAACACAGCGATGTGCCACTGGAAATGTGTCTCTGTCAGGAATGGACACATGATCAAAAATTAAATAAATTCATATGAATTTCCATGAGCGATTCAGTGTAGTGCTTTCACTGTAAATGCTTCTAAATGTATTCATTTGCAACTGCAGTACATGACTAAATGAATGTTCAGAGAGGTCTGAGTGAATGAACGAGTGCAGGCAGCTCTGGTTATATAACACTCATCATGCCATATTACCACACACACAAACATACAACATCCATACACACATTATATACAAGCAAACATGACCGTTTGTATATGGGCAGTTGACATACAGACACAGGCATGAACATCAAGATTTTAAAATGGTAAAATGTACATATTTGCATAAGGGAAAATATATTTACATGCATTCGCCATCACTAGTTAATTTTAAATAGTCTTGCGATGTGACAAATTACTGTAAGTGAAATATTCCATGCAGTCTCTCACTAAATGGTCCATGAAAAAAGCATAATAATTATAATACAATTTGAAATATGCTGTTTTTATTTTAATACTATTCAGCTATTTCGACAGTCAGTTTCACTCAAGTAAGTGAAGCTTATTTAATGCTCATTAATGCTGAAAATCTCTATTTTGTGGAGGCATCACCGTAGGACTGATTAAATGAACATGAAATTATTTCAACTACACGTTACAAGTTTAATTAATAGTAAGGGATAAAACTCTCCCTTATCCTGATTAACATTTTTAAGGATCCCCAAGAGATGGCTTCATTAGTTTACTGCACCATAAACTTTGTCATTTAGAAAATGTTGTAGTAAATTTGAATACATTTGTAACTTGGTTCAGTTCTAAACAAAAAAAAAACTTTCTTGCACAATTGAAAAGCAGTTTTACATACATACATAAATACATGAATGAATAAATGAATGAATGAATGGTCATGGCATGGGGCACATGAGCCTGTACACATGAAAATGTGTGGAAAAAATTAATAAGTTAAATAAAATGAATTATTGAAATGGTTTACTTCACTTCATATTAGATTATCATGAGCCTGGGGCAAGAAAACATTTTAAGAGTAATAAAATGAGGTAATGGGTCAGTAAAAAAAAAAAAAAAGGCAGAAAGGTTTGCAGATGGAAAGGAAGGACTGAAAAAAGCAGACAATCTCCTGAGAGCGCTGGTCAGAATGACTGTGTCCAGCATCTCTGAACATCAATCCCACAGGTGCATTGTGGGATACAGAGTGACCAATGGTTCTGACCCCACAAAATGCTTGGATAAATCATGATAAAACCCCCATGATGAGGGTCAAACAAGGTGTCTGTAGGGCCACAAACACAACACAAGAAAAAACTATAACAAGTCTTCTATAGTTCAACCCACTCTCTCTCTCTCTCTCTCACACACACACACACACACACACACACACACACATACGGTGTCCATCAGTTTTACATTTACAGGAAAACACTTACATGTTTGGACAGGTTTTCACTCTTTGAGTCGAGGTCATACCTAGAAATACAAGGAAAATTCAGTGAATGACGCTGAATGAAATGCTTGTAGAAATGAAATGTGTAATTTCTGTGGCTCAAAATAAAGTGCTGCAGAAATGAGTCCTTAAATCTGGAAACATATTAGAATTTTTACACAGTCAAAAGCTCAAAACTCAAAGTCAATGGTTTTTTTTTAATGGGTTTTTGGTTAAATACCTGAAATAAGGTCTGTGCTTAACACAAGCTCAAGATATTTTCATGTTTTTTTTTTCTATGACATAAAACAATACCCCACTCATTTTAAAGCTTTTACTTGTCTTGAAAAGGCAGTTGCTAATAAGTGGCTAAATGGGACTCTTTTCTTTACAGTGACATTAGACGTCATCAATCCGAACAGGAAAATACTTAGAGATGGTGACACTGAAGTCATGCAACATTAGTGTAGTTCGTTTATAGCCTTTAGCTTTTTACTTCTGCCGATTGTTTGTAGGCTATTGTGAAGATTATGAAGATTATCTTGATGAATAAAACATGTAAGAATCATAAAGTTGTTGGTCACAGATCTTATTAAAAGTCAAACGAAAAATCCTATTGGTTTTTTGTCGAGGGAACCAGGGTGATGCTAACTTGGAAGTTGGTCAACAAAACTACGTCATCCACTGCAGCACTCTATTGCAAAAATAACTAGATTACTTTTTCAGAAGAAAATGTCACTGATGCTTGTCCATACAAATGTTGCCACCATAATGTGGTTCTTATATAATATAAATATCTCATGGCAATTTGTAACTATTTTACATGTTGGCATATTGTAACTGTATTCATTAACAGTTATTCATTAACTTTAACGCTTCCATACAATCTCATCATACATTTTCATACAACTTACACGCTACTGAACATTAGTTTTAGGGATGGTGTTACGGGTGGACTTTCAGGTTTTTTCTATTTTCCTAAAAATGTACTGAATTTTAATTCAGAACATGCTTATTCTAGAATAGGTGTATTCAAAACACTGCATGTAGAAATTTCATGTTTAATGTATGTTTGAATAAATACAGGTGCATCTCAATAAATTAGAATGTCGTGGAAAAGTTCATTTATTTCAGTAATTCAACTCAAATTGTGAAACTCGTGTATTAAATAAATTCAATGCACACAGACTGAAGTAGTTTAAATCTTTGGTTGGTTTAATTGTGATGATTTTGGCTCACATTTAACAAAAACCCACCAACTCACTATCTCAACAAATTAGAATACTCCATAAGACCAATAAAAAAAAACATTTTTAATGAATTGTTGGCCTTCTGGAAAGTATGTTAATTTACTGTACATGTACTCAATACTTGGTAGGGGCTCCATTTGCTTTAATTACTGCCTCAATTCGCCGTAACTACTTCAGTCTGTGTGCATTGAATTTATTTAATACACGAGTTTCACAATTTGAGTTGAATTACTGAAATAAATGAACTTTTCCACGACATTCTAATTTATTGAGATGCACCTGTATATAGGACAAATGAATGATATCATTCACCGCTTAGCAAGCAGTAATGACTGTTTCCCAGACACTCCCACCGTCTTCCATTCTTCCATTCTTGTGATAGCTGGCTTTGCACATTGGGATAGAAGAAAGTACTACCCTAAAAAAAGGCACACTTTACCTTCAAGTCATGTTATTACTTGTTTTCTGTGCAGCGTTTACTCTAGGAGCTAAAATATGTCAGCGCTTGTGTTTTCTTGTGACATTCTGAATGAACACAAGCCTGTTGTTCACCGGCAGTTTAAATGAAACCTCAGTGGGTGGCAACAACCTACATGTTTGAGGAAAAATCTGTCATGTTGGGATACATGTTATTTTCCTCTCAGCATGAAGCTACACCCTTGGCTGTCTCTCTCTTTGTCTGTCTGTCTCTTTCTTCCTCCCGCTGTGCAAAATGAGCAGCATCAGCACATGTGCACATATTTCCAGCCACCGCAGGAGAGATCGATCGCTAAAATCAAAACATGCTTTTACCTGACCGAACATTCATGTTCAAATCCCCTCGGCAATAAGAGCAAGTCAGTGTACTGCAGGTTTCACTGTGGTTGTGCTGCGATATTGTATGTGTGTAACTCTATGTCAAGAATCTACCACATAACACACACAACACAGTCTGGACCCACTCACTTTTACCGTCTCTAATTTAGCGCATATTTCTGTTCACTTTTCAGAGCGCCGTCAGTCAAGTCCATTCCACTTGAGGAATGCCCTAATAAATTAAACACCATTTCGCGTTTTAGCCTTGCCTTCCACACTGCTGCTTCCTCAAATCCATTCCACTTGGCTCATTCAGAGTCCATATAAATTAAACTCCATTCTGTATTTTCACTACTCGCGTTTTCTGCACTTCCGCAATACTGTATGTGTGTCTGTGCTGCTACTGTATGTGGTCGCTAAGGTGTTCTTAGGGGGTTGGTGTTTTGCAATGAGGTTGCTAGGCAGTTTGGGGTGGTTGCTACCTAGGTAACAAATTTAGGTTATATAAACATTGTGTGAACATTGTTTTGAAATGTTTCTAGAATGCTGAACTGTCCAGTTTTCGTGTTGTGATTATAATGTTATTTAAAGGTTACAAAAAAATGTCTTACTACATTTTACAACTTTATTTTTACCCAAAATATAACTTTATTTGAATGTTTATTTTTAACATTCTGTTACGTGCTGCTGACTTAATCGTCTGTTACTGACTTTGGAGTTCTGTTCACCTTTTTGGATTGGCCAGCTGTTACGATCTTCTGCCTGTTTGAACTGTTTATTGATGAAGATTGGACTCATTTACCCTCTTCCCATTTACCCTCTTAATCCTCCCATCAATGCTCATTCACTGGATGGCTGCAAGTTCATGACTATTTCGTCTATAACCGGCCCGGTGAGTGTAGTTACCTCTGGTAACCACTGGGATTTGTCCCGTGTTCCTGTCATGTACCATGATTTGCGGGCAGTCTTCAACATGTCCCGAGCTGCCTCTCTTCCACCACATTGACCGTATGATTGTGTCATCGATCTCCTCCCAGGCACTTCCCCGCCTCGTGGTCGTCTTTTCTCCTTGTCCACACCTGAGCAGGCGGCAATGGAGAAATATCTGTCTGAGTCTCTGGCCGCTGGTATCATCCGTTCCTCTTCTTCTCCGGCAGGTGCGGGGTTCTTTTTTGTGAAGAAGGATGGCTCTCTGCGCCCTTGTATAGATTATCGGGGACTGAATGACATAACTGTTAAGAACAGGTACCCCCTGACTCTAATGTCTTCAGCTTTCGAACCCTTGCAGGGGCGAGATTCTTCACAAAATTGGATCTACGCAATGCTTACCATCTTGTTTGGATTAGAGAGGGGGATGAGTGGAAGATAGCCTTTAACACTCCTACGGGGCACTTTGAATATTTGGTTCTTCCGTTCGGGTTGTCCAACGACTGGTTGTCTGTCTTCCAAGCACTTGTCAATGACGTGCTGAGAGATATGATCAATAAATGATTTGATCAATCAATGATTTGTTTTTGTGTATCTGGATGATATTTTAATATTCTCTCCTTCCTTCCAGGTGCACATCCGGCACAACAGGCAGGTACTCCAGCGGCTACTTGAGAATCAGTTATTTGTTAAGGCGAAGAAGTGTACCTTTCATGCCCAGTTGGTTTCGCTTTTGGGTTCCATCATTTCGGGGGAGGGGATTCGCATGGACCCAGCAAAGGTGAGAGCCGGTGCCTGACTCAAAAAAGAGTTTACAACAGTTCCTGGGTTTCGCCAATTTCTATCGGAGATTCATCAGGAACTTTAGTAAGGTAGCGGCCCCTTTGACTTCCACCAAGGTTAAATTCACCTGGCCTGTAGCGGCTCAGAGTGCTTTTGATGAACTTAAACGTAGATTTACTTCTGCTCCAATTCTCATTACACCTGACCCCGCTCAGCAGTTTGTGGTGGAGGTCGATGCGTCGGAGGTAGGTGTTGGAGCAGTTCTTTGTCAAATATCCCCTCAAGATAATAAGCTACATACTTGTGCTTATTTTTCTCACCGTTTGTCTTCTGCAGAACGAAACTACGACATCAGCAGTTGCTGGCGGTACAATTTGCTCTGGGGAAATGGAGTCACTGGTTGGAGGGGATGGCTATTCCTTTCGTGGTGTGGACTGACCATAGGAACTCGGAGTACATTTGGTCGGCTAAACGATTGAATGCCAGACAGGCTCATTGGGCATTTATTTTTTGGGCGCTTCGACTTTGTGTTATCTTACAGGCCGGGCTCCAAAAATGGTAAACCTGATACGTTGTCGTGGTGCTTCACTCCCTTGGTTGACACGCCTCCTCCTGACACTATTTTGACTCAGGGCTGTGTGGTGGGTGAGGTCACCTGGGGAATTGAAGATTGCGTCTTCTAATTTACCATCCGCTGGTCTGTTACATCCTCTTCCCATCCCTTCCCGCCCCTGGTCACATATTGCCCTGGATTTTGTTACTGGTCTCCCTCCATCCAGTGGCAATACTGTGATCCTCACCATGGTGGATTGTTTTCTAAAGTGGTCCACTTCATTGCCTTTCCCGAACTACCCTCTGCGAAGGAGATGGCCCGGGTGATCATTGACCACGTCTTCAGGATTCATGGTTTTCCGGAGGACATGGTCTCTGATAGGGGGCCCAGTTTGTTTCCCATTTTTGGAGGGAGTTCTGTCGGCAGATTGGAGCCTCCGCCAGTCTGTGGTCAGGGTTCCATCCACAGACTAACCGCCAGTCCGAGTGGGTAAACCAGGATCTCGGTCGGATTCTCCGATGTTTAGCTTCCCACAACACCTCTACCTGGAGTCAGCAGCTAACGTGGGCTAAGTATGCTCATAATCCATTGCCAGTGTCTTTGACTGGGCTTTCCCCATTCATGTGTTGCCTGGGTTGCCAACCTCCTTGGTTTTCTTCCTATGGTCCTAAAGCAGCCATTTCCTCGGTCCAGGCTTTTATTCAGCACTGTTGTCGTACCTGGAGGAGGGCCAGGGAGGCTCTGATCCGGTCCGGGGGACGTACTAAAATCACTTCAGACCGTTACCGGAGGATGGCTTGTGGAGGATGTTTGTGGGCAACGGGTTTGGCTTTCCACCAAGGACCTGTTGCTTCGAGTCCCGGCTCATAAGTTGGCACCTAGGTTCATCGGGCCTTATCCCATTATTAAAGTCATCAGTCCGGTAGCAGTCCAACTTCGGTTACCCTATCCTTTCCTTTCGGTTGCACCCTGTTTTTTCATGTTTCTAAAATTAAGCCTGTCTTGCGTTCTCCCCATGTTCCTTCTGTATCTTCCTCTGTTCCTCCTCCTCCCCTGATGATTGAGGGCGCTCCTGCCTTCATCGTCAGAAAAATTCTTGATTCCAGGCACCGTGGATGGGGATTTCAATATCTTGTTGACTGGGAGGGTTACGGTCCTAAGGAGAGATATTGGGTCCCGGCTTGAGATATTCTGGACCACTTGCTTATCAAGGCTTTCCATCACCAACGATCCTCTCACCCCTTGAGTGCACCGGGAGGCACTCCTGGGGGAGGGGGTACTGTCAGGACTCAGGTTTGATCTCCCTCTGATGGTGTTTTCTAATCAGCGCGATCACTCGTTACCGCACACCTGTTTTCTTTCTTTGCTTGATTTTTCTCCTATATCTATTCTGTTTCTTTCTCTGTTTTCTGCCAGTGTGTTCTGTTTCTTTGCCGCTCTTTAGTCTATTTTCTTTTTGTTTAAGTATTTGTTATTTAATTGGTTATGTTTTATTTAATTTATTTTCTTTCTGCCCAGTTGTGTTGCGGTTACCTGTTTTTCATCAAAACTTGATGATCCTGGATTGTTACGTCCTGCTGACCCAATGGACTGTTACTGACTTTGGAGTTTGGATTTTCCTGGGGGTTCTGTTCGCCTTTTTGGATTACCCAGCTGTTATGATCTTCTGCCTGTTTGAACTGTGAGCTTTGGATTGCCTGGATTGATCTGCCTGTGCCTTGCCTGACCTTCTCACCTGCCTGATTCTGTCTTTTGTCTTATGGATTGGATTTGGTTACTGATGGACTTTGACTTTACCTGCTTGACCATTTTCCTGTGTCCTCCTGTGCCAGAACTGGTCTGGAGCTATTTGGCTCGTACTGTGTTTATTATTGTGCTTCCATAAATTGGAGTTAAGCATTCTTCTGCTTTTGCGTCCTTCCTTCCAGAGATCTTTACAGCAAGCTGTAGTTCCAATCACACAAGTTTGTTCTTTTTTTTTTTTTTTGTCTGTTTGCGAATATTCGTTGGAACTCTGGTTGCCCTATGCTGGTAATGACAGAACTTGTGATCAGAGTTGGCACGCGATGCTTTGGGAAATGGACTCAACATTGGTTGCTAGGGTGTCCTGATTGGTTGCTAGGATGTTGCAAAGGTATTCTGGATGGTTGCTGTGGTGTTCTGGGTCGTTCCTGGTTGCTTACACCGACCCAGGTGTCCATGATATTATCTTGATCTGACAACTTCTAATCGAAATCTCCATGGTTACTAAACAGATGATTCTAAAGTTAGAATTTATATATACTGTACAGCTCCAGATCTCAGAGAAATGAAAAAGAGCAATCTGGGTGAGAAGGGACCAGGTGTAAAACTGTCAGGAGTACACACACACACACACACACACACAGATGGATGTGACATATCCATCAAAATGTCACATCCTGAATATGATAATATCAGGACAGGGAGATGATGACATGACCGACCGACCACACACACACACACGAATGCACACACGTCACTGATGTTCAATTCAGCCCATGTTAATTAAAGCTCATGTATAATGTGCATCATGTGCCTCTAGACAATTTGTAGTGGTACGTATGGAGCAGGCCGCTCTAATGGAGGATCTGCAGTGTGTGTTTGACCGCGTGTGTGTGTGTATGTGTGTGTGTCTGTGTGTGATGGAGGTGAATAATGAATAAATGTAATTTCTGGGTTACTGCTGTATAAAATGTGCTTCACTGAGCGGCAGCAAGCCAAAGCCCTGCAGGCAGTGTGTGTGTGTGTGTGTGTGTGTGTGAGAGAGAGAGAGAGTATGTGTGAAATCATACAAAACTGCATTAAAAGGTCTCCTATGTTCCTTGTGAAAACAGCACTTCTGTATATGTTGTCTCTGTATGTCCGATTGTTTACAGTGAACATAGAGGAGATGATTGGCCTGGGGTCCTGTGTCAATAAATAAATTGTTTGTTTGTTTGTATTTTTATTTAATTTTTTTTTTTATGGCAAGATGACATGCAAGATTCATTCAGGGGTGCATTTCCCAAAAGCATCATTAGCTAACTATGGTTGCAAGTTCCATTGTAAACTATTGGTAACCACAGAACTTGTGACCATAGATGCTTTTGGGAAACGCACCCCAGATTGTTAAATGCGTGTTATTATACTGTGGGAAAAAACAAAAACAAACAAAAAAAAAACTTTACCTTTTACCTTGAAATTATTTTTGAATAATTAAGAAGTGTACATTCACATGTATTCAAAACTGTAAAAAATCCTTTTTTTACAAATACCATTTCATTCACTCTACCATTTCTTTGTAATTGTTTGTGAAATTTATTAGAAATTTATGAGTGAAAATTGTAAAGTAAATCATACACTTTTTTCAGTGAATATGTAAAGAAAAATATGTTATTGCATTTTAGTTAGAGGTTATACCACCTGACATTTAGAGACATTCAATTTTTAAAAAATGTTTTTTTTTCAAAAATGAATGTGCCCAACATGAATTCAAAAATCTAATTTTGATGAACAAGGCACATGGTTTTTAAACCCAAACATAAAACTCAAAGACAGACACAAACATTTTCGTATGCTGATTATACTTACAGGTCAAAGCGTAAATTTTGTCTCTCTTCAAAGAAGTAATCGAGGATGAATTTGTGCACAAAGTCTGGATTCAGCGTGTTATCAATGACTTCTGTCCTGCCAAACTAAACAATAAAGGGCATCACATTACCAGCATGAACAAAAGCAATGTAAATTTAAAATACAGGTCTGAAAACACAAATTCAGAAAATACAATACCTCCCTCCACTCCCTGTTTGCCACAGTCTGAGTGTACAGCACACAAACTACACAGAAACAAATATAAAGATACATGAAAACTGCCTTGAGACATTAAAACGCCACCTTGCTGGAAAGAAGAGTGAAAATATAGCAGCCCTGGTTTGTTAATTCAGCAAATTAAGAAATCAAATATGCACAAAAAGCAAAGAAAGATGTGTGGAGCTCTTGAGAATACAATTATTGGCTCATTTGTCTCACATGCAGTGAGAAGAGTTTGTCATTAACACACACACACACACACACACACACACACACATGCTCAGATGTCTCGCAAATTCATATCACAAGCAATGGCAGGTGGCTGAAATAATTCAGTTTCTGAACATCTGTTTGGCTGCCTGGGGGCCTTCCTCTGAACATGAGCCAATACCTGCCATCAGACTGTCTAAAAATATGCCTAATTAAAAAAAGACCATCAATGTCCTCCGAGCGTGCATAATCTCCACCTTTATATCGGGTTTGGACCCCAGAGCCTCGTAGAATTTACAGTGTGTGACTTTATGACCACCTCTACTCATATCTGTCCTGGGAGACGAGTGTGTGTGTGTGTGTGTGTGTGTG